CAATTTTCTTAGTTTCTTTAAGAAACTTCATTCAATTTTCTTAGTTTCTTAAAGAAACTAAGAAAATTGAATGTTTACCTTAATGTTTAGTATGTACCGATTGCAGCAAAGGCCACGTCGTTTGACGGTGTGGATCACCTGATGTTCTTACATCTCGCCTCTGTTGACTTAACAACCGAGCATATAAGCTGAGGGAGTAATTTGTTTTGATTGTGTTCCACTACACCAAGTTGCCCGACACTGATGAGACCCAATAAAGGTCGAAACAGCTGTCTGTCGGTATTTGAAGTTGGTGGAACGCATTCAAAACAAAAAACTTTGGCGAGGTGTAGGTTCAATTTTTTCACATACGTATATCATATATATGTTACGGCTAATGTGTAAACATTAGGGTGTCCCTTATTTTTTATTTTTTCACGCATACCCTCTAATTATATTTATTACGTGTTTATATACTCCCAGTAAAAATTTCAGCTCATTCTATAAACGGGAACCCGTGCCGACTTGCATCTGAACCCTCCGTTAGCCAACGTTAGGAGCGCGGTATTTTGTAACACGGTTGGTCGCGAGGTCTTCGATCGTAAGTCATTTTGTGTTTGTTATTATGTGACCCTTATATTATAAATTATTGACAAATGTTAAAATATAGTTTTATTTATGTGTATACTTTTATAAAAATGTATACAGGGTGTTTCTTTTAACTTGAGACAGCTCAATATCTCGAGAAATACGCATTTCACGGAAAAATGTCTTAAATAAAAGGTTAATGTGACTAAAGGGGACATTATTTGGTGCTACCGCTAGCCACCCCCTACCCCTCCTTAAGGGTGAAACGGGGGGTAACTTTGGAAAGTCAAATGGAATGACCCGATTTTTTTCACAGAGTTTGGTAGTACATAAAAAAATAAATAACTTTTATTTAAAACTTTTTTCAATTTATCAAGAGATGGCGCTGTAATTCAAAATTTAAGAAAAATGAGTTTCCTAGTAAAATGTATTATTTGAAACGTTTGAAAAACAAAAATTAACATTAATAACAATAGTCGGCTATGAAAACAATTTATAACAAATGTTCGAAATGTCGTCATTCCATTTCAACACATTTTTGAATGCGGGTAATGAATTCTGGCACACAACGCGCCAACATATCGGGCGGTATCGCCGCACAGGCGTTCCTGATCCGCTCCACCATGTCCTCCCAAGTTGTAGGAATTGCAGCGTAAACTTTTTCTTTCAAGTAACCCCACTGGAAGAAGTCTGGTGGCGTAAGATCAGGTGATCTAGCAGGCCAAATTACTGGACCACGTCTACCGATCCACCGCGGTGCACCCGATCCAACACCTCTCGAGCAATTGTCGAATAATGTGCAGGACAACCATCTTGCTGGTACCACATGTTTTGGAGCCGTGCTAGTGGTACATCCTCCAAAAGGTTCGTCAGATCGTTTTCTAAAATTTAATGCACCGTCAATAAAGAAGGGTCCGATTAATCGTTCGCTTAAGGTACCGCACCAAACGTTTACCGACCAGGGACGCTGGTGCTCCACTTGGTGGCGAAATGGAAGGACGACATTTCGAACATTTGTTATAAATTGTTTTCAGAGCCGACTATTGTTGATTTAATGTTAATTTTTGTTTTTCAAACGTTTCAAATAATACATTTTACAAGGAAACCCCTTTTTCTTAAATTTTGAATTACAGCGCCATCTGTTGATAAATTGAAAAAAATTTTCATATAAAAGTTATTCATTTTTTTATGTACTACCAAACTGTGAAAAAAATCGGGTCATTCCATTTGACTTTCCAAAGTTACCCCCCGTTTCACCCTTAAGGAGGGGTAGGGGGGTGGCTAGCGGTAGCACCAAATAATGTCCCCTTTGGTCACATTAACCTTTTATTTAAGACATTTTTCCGTGAAATACGTATTTCTCGAGATATTGAGCTGTCTCAAGTTAAAAGAAACACCCTGTATTTTCACAGAGAGTGGCTAGTTACTCGGAAGTGAATAGGCCGTAAACTCTGAAATTGATAAACTTAATGGGTTTTACTCTAAATAACTAAAAGAGTCTATTGTGAGAGATGACTACCGAAAACTTATTGAACTGTCTGAAATATTTTTGGGAGGACATCAAGAAAAGAAATGCTTATAAAAAGATGAAATTTCATATAACAGTATATTTTAGCAATACTAATTAGTATATTAATATATTTAAGGGATAAAGTCAACTAAATTTTTTTTGGTTATTTTTTAATGGTCATTCAGATATAATAAAAAAAGGATTTCGGGTAATTAGTTTTACGGCCTATTCACCCGACACTTCCGGGTAACTAGCCACTTACTGTAAAAATATTCATTTTTATTAAAGTATACACATAAATAAAACTATATTTTAACATTTTTTAATAATTTATAATATAAGGGTCACATAATAACAAACACAAAATGACTTACGATCGAAGACCTCGCGACCAACCGTGTTACAAAATACCGCGCTCCTAACGTTGGCTAACGGAGGGTTCAGATGCAAGTCGGCACGGGTTCCCGTTTATAGAATGAGCTGAAATTTTTACTGGGAGTATATAAACACATAATAAATATAATTAGAGGGTATGCGTGAAAAAATAAAAAATAAGGGACACCCTAGTAAACATAGATAGTTTATAAAGTAGCTGGGTAGTTTATAAACTAGCCAAACTGTCAGCTATTTTAATTGAAAACGTATTTTTAACTAAATTAGCGGCTAGTTTGTAAACCAACCAAGGGTATTGGCTAATTTACTTGAAATTATTTAGGAATAGCTGGATAATTTGTAAACTATCCAATTTAATTTGGCTAATATGAAAACCGCTTAATTTTAATGCCGGAACGATAGCTTTGCTGGTTACATTTTGGCACAACACAGGACTTCATGTCTATTAAAATGCACAAATACAAATGTATAACAAGAACAAATATAACAAGAAAAAATAGAACAATATAATATAATAACGAATATCACAATAACAATAAGTAAAAACTCCCTGTAACAAAATACACAAGCTTGTTTATAAAAATGTAGGTTATGTTTCTTAACACAGAACATAAGTAGGTAGTTCATTTGACCTTTTATCCCATAGACTTTAAGGACTTAGAGCCGGTTTTACAATCATTTAATGATTAATTTAGATTAAGTTAGCTTATTTGGTGGATAACTTTCATAGAAACCATCTAAGAAAATTATCCACCAGAGAGCTTATCTAACGATTGTAAAACCCAAAGATAAAGAAGGTAAAAACGACCTTTAAACATCTATGGTTTATCCATAACGCGCCATCTGGTGGGTGTCTCATTAGAGAGGTCACTTTTCCTATTGAAATTGGGAGAAGTTGCAAGACCTGTATATAAGACCGTGGGTACAACATTTATTTAAAAGGTGAGGTAGATTCCATCTTATGTATCGCTTCTCGGCCTATTGCTAAGATCAAAGCAATCCCCTTGGTGGAGTTGACAGTGCAGGTATTTTTCTTAATAAAATACAGTATGTAGGACCTACATTGTGGGTATTTTTTTTGAAATTTTTTTGAAAAAAATATTTATTTGATTAATATTATTATACGGATATTTATATTTCAATTATGTGTAAATTTAAAAGACTTTATAGGTCACCAAAAAGAATCTGTTTTTGTAATAGGCACACAGGTGGCAAGAAACAGTGTGCAAACAATGTGAAAAATCAAAAGGAGTTCCCTTTAGAACATTGTCAATTAATTAATCTATGTTGATAAGCACTGATTAAGCAGTTTTCCTTATTGATAACGACCGATAAGGAAAAAATCACAACACAACGTCCACATAACATTAAACGCTGGTCTCTAAGATTTTAAAGTGTACCCCTCGAGTACAAGTACTTGAATTTTGTACTTCTTTGGGTATTTGTAATTACTTGATACTCACCCAGACAGCATCCAATTCAGAACGATTTCTGTACGAAGTCTGTTGAAAACATCTTACCGAGGTCACAATATTACATCTTAGAGAAATCATTTTTAGGAGCTCAAGATTAAGAGCTCTTGATGAATTCATAAATGAGAAGTTAATTTTTTAACATCGATGTTAAAAAATTAAGGTCAGAAAAAAAGATATTTTAAGATCTTAAAGTATCTTTTTTTCTGACCTCTTATTGGAATCAAAATTGAAAGCTACTAAGGGTATCAAAAATAAGACTTCAGTTATATGATATTCTAAGGTGCGTATTAGAGTGGTCCAAAAAAATTTTTTTTTGGTTATCATCTCAAAACCTTCTTTTAGGTATAAAAAAATTCCCTCCAAAGCGCAGCTTAATATCTCAATTCTCCACTAAGCTCAATGAATTTTTATTTTCCCATTTAAATAACTAATTTTTTTTTTCATTTTTATCCGGTAAAACGAGGAAATTTTTTTTTTTGAATTTCTCATCAATGATTCTTGTAGAAAATTTAATTTTCTACAAAAAATCCTGGAGTAGTTTTTTCGTAATCCTAACGGGTAAAAAGTTATTAAGCTTCAAATACTTGCTACTTAGTAAATTTGAAGGAAGATCGTTTCAATGCAACTTTTTAAAGATATTGAGTTATTAAGCTTCAAATACTTGTTACTTAGTAAATTTGAAGAAAGATCGTTTCAAAGCAACTTTTTGAAGATATTGACTCAATATCTTCAAAAAGTTGCTTTTAAACGATCTTCCTTCAAATTTACTAAGTAGCAAGTATTTGAAGCATAATAACCTTTTACCCGTTAGGATTACGAAAAAACTACTTCAGGACTTTTTTGTAGAAAATTAAATTTTCTACAAGAATCATTGATGAGAAATTAAAAAAAAAAAATTTCCTCGTTTTACCGGATAAAAAGGAAAAAAAATTTTTTTGAATTTGGCATAATAATAATTTTTAAATTATCACAGACTTTTAGGTTTTATCAATACCCACATTTAATAAAGCAAATAATAACAAATTATAAAATTTATTAACATTAAACTTGCATATTTCCTCTTATTCTTTTAAAAATATAATGTATATTAATAAATATTATCATATAGAGGCCCGATATTATATATACAAAAAGACTTTAAGCTTAATAATTAATAATACCTAATTCTAAAATAATGTATCTATTCCCATCGACCAAACTAGTGGATTGTCAGTTTGAACCGTCACAACAGGCGATAAATCATCATAAGTATTAGATGAACTAACCAATCCATTAAATTGTAGTGTCCCATTTTCTAAAAAAATCAAAATAAAAATGCTATATCTTTTTACCAGGAAAAAAATAGGGATCTTTCATTCAAAAACGATACAATTTTAAGGTTATATAAGTGGATAAATATTAAAATTATTAAATCAGTTATTGGGATAATTGTTTTCTTAAATAGGTCTTCATTAAACTAAATGCGTGATATATTTTTTATAGAAAAATGATATTAGAATTAAGTTGTTTATTTTTATTATTTTTATATTATTATAGTATAAAGTGACCAGATCCTAAAAGTCCAAAAGCGGGACAAAGTTACAAAATGGTCAAAAATCTTGTTTTCATTTTCAATTAAATTTTTAATACCTATAACATTTTTATTTATATTTTTCATTTTGATGATTTTTTTTAATAGGGGCTTATTTTTTAACTCATACAGTCTCCTTTAAAATTATATTTAATAGTCACTAAAGCTTTTAAAGTTTCTACAGACAAATTAGTTTTTTCGGTGGTCCAAATTTTATTAATCATAGAAAAAACCCGTTCGGTAGAAGCGTTTGTACCGGGTAAGCATAATATATATTGTACTAATTTTAAAATATTATTGAAAGGAATGTTATTTTCATCGAAATGACTAAACATTTCTACCCATTTTTGATCTGTGGAAGTTTTTTGCTCAGTCCAAAAAATAAGTTTACTCTCAGAAACATAATTATGAACATATCGAGTCTCATCAAATAAATCATTTTAAACTATGGTGCATTTGGGGAATTTTTTTAAAAGAAACTCAAAACTTTTTTGTACTTGTTTCCATGTCGGAGCTTTTTTACTACTGTACTGGCTTAAATATTCTAAACAATTAGAGTAAAAGTTAATAGTCTGAATTTATTGAAAGCGGGACAAAAGCGGGACGCTTATTAAATCGGGACCCTTAGCTCAGAATCGGGACTGTCCCGCCTAAATCGGGACGGATGGTCACTTAATTATAGTAATCATGGCCTTAAAATTTTAAACTGAAATAATATTTTTGGTTATTAATAACAGTTTTGACCACAAATTTAAAGTGTAAAACAACTAAGAAAATAGGAATCTCTTTAGAGACCAGAACTGGCTTTAAGCAACAATATAGTTTGGAAGTGAAATGTATTGCTGCTTTGAATTTGATAAAATGATCTAAAAATAGGGATCGGCAAAACTGTCAATGGGTCCAATCAATTTAGCCTTGAAATTAAGCATGAACTTAAATTAATTCTATTATTCCAAATAAAGAAATTAACCCATGAAAAACAGAGATGGGTTAATTTAATCTCAAACCGTCAGACCAGAACTAATTGGATATCCATATGACCAGTTAGCTACAATCTGCATACGATAGGAAAATTAGACAGCAGAGTGGATCGAATATCCCTTTGCACATATTTTTTTACTATTACCAAATTAATTTAAAAAATGCGGATATTCGACCACATAAGCAGTAATTACTACAGACTCAGTAATGCCCTTATCTTCTAGAGTTCAAATAGACGATTAAAGCCTTATTTATAGATTGCCTTCCTTCATTCCTTCCTACCTCCCGTAAAAGATGAACAATACGAAAACCGTAGTGCTGTTTATAGATTCCCCTACGGACTTTCAAGACTTCCTTTTAAAGATACAGGGTGGTAGAGTTATTAAAAAAAATTATTCTTTCAAAAATTTAAAAACTCCTTGCCGAATTTAATAAAAATTTTCAGGTTTTTAGTAATGGGTTGGGTTGCCTTAATTTAGAGGCCTATTCCCTTTCTCACTGTTCTTAAACATCGATTTCTTAACATGTATGTTCACCCAACGACAACCCAAACATCACCTATGTTATAGGTATTCCGTTTTCAATGTTTAAAGGCTTGACCTGTACGGAAATCTTTAACAGCACAACGGCTTTTGTATTGTTCATCTTCTACAGTAGGAAGGAAGGAAGGCAATCTATAAATCAGGCTTAAATCTTTATAAAGAGCGATAAATGTTTCTAGGACAGAGAGTATTATAAGAGTTTTAACACCTAAAAGTCGCAGATAGTAAACTAAAATGTTAAATAATTATTTAAAAAATCATTGGTGGTATTTAATATATTAAATGAACTTCAAAACAACTTAAGAAACCCCACAAATTCTAAAAATACTTGGAAAAAACGTTTTATGCTAAACTAGCCAAAGAACAGATCTTCTGGTGGGGCCATTAAATCCATCCTTAAATGGAAAAGGGTAATCTTAAAATAATTATTTGTTACTTTTACTGTTTACACAGACTTTTAGGCCCATGTAAGAAAAAGGGCAAGGAAACTAGGCATATCTCACATGGAGACTGGCAATATTGAGGAGCCAGTAAAACAACTTGATCACATTGAGGATAAATTAACATGGAAGTTAGTGATGGAGGGTTTACAATCTTATGAACTCTGCATTGACCAGCCTTTAAGGTCAACACAGGCTACTTAAAAGGTTTTAATAAATCCTAAAAGATATTTTAAAATTAAACAAAAAAGTTTTAGCGCCCATTTGAAGAAAAAAATTGAGATGAGTATTTAGATGCCTTTTTTGTATTTTATTAGTTCTTATACTTTTGTTTGACTATTTTTTTGGGTAATAATATTACAAAAGTATTTAATATTTTATATTTCTTATATTTTTTCCAACATATTTTTTTTTCCTGTGTTCGATGCTAGCCAAGACCCTTGTTTTGTCAAAGTCTAGCATCGAACACAGGACCAGAGTACCATCAAGCTATTGAAATAGAAAAACGTCCAAAAAACCTCAGCACGATACACAGAGACTAACAACTGCATGGAAACCAGCTCTTAGAACCAACAAAAGAGGGTATATAAACAAGGATAAGCGGCAACGGAGCTCACTCCACGTCTAACTCGCAGCAGAGCAGCAACAGCAGCCTAGCAGATAAGACCTGAAGATGGTACATGAGATTGTACCGAAACTTCTTCAGACATATGGTTCTTTTAAGAACCGACAACACGGAGCAGATCCCGAAAAACCATTAATGCATAATAAAGCAGAACAAGTTCTGCTTTAGGTTTCCACGGGCGTTATATGTATGTATTAATGGTTTTTCGGGATCTGCTCCGTGTTGGGTAAAAAATTCAGTTTTTTCGAGAAAACGACTAAATTGAAGGTTAATTTCAATTTAACCTTGAATAACTTTTAACCAAATTAACTTACCGAAAAATGACTTTAGACCTTTTTTGTAGAGCGTTCAATTCTCTATAAAAATATTTCAAAATTTTTTAAATGAGTCGGGTAGACTCGCCAAAAAAGTTTAAAAACCCAAAAATTTTGTATAATTTGAACTTTGACCTTAAATTTCTTTAGAAGGATCAAATTTATCAAAAAATCATAAGAAACCTTTTTTGTAGAGCGTTCTCTACAAAAATATATCAAGAACTTTACAGTACGACCTATCGTTCGTTAGTTACAAAAATAAAAAGAAACAAAAATAATTTTCCCTATGTTATTCTTATGGAAAATCGAAAAGTGCGATGCAGAGCATCTTAATTTTGAAATTAAGAGTTCATTTTTATTTCTATACGAAACTTTTGAGCGTAGTTCCGAGAAAAAAAACAAAAAAAGGTTTTCTTGAATCACCCTAATATATTTATACAGGGTGATTCGCCTAACTGATATATATGTTCACATATATACAGTGTGTTCCATTTAAAACGAACCACCCTAAATTTCTCGGAACCTGAAATTTTTTTGAAAAAAACGCCGAGACACGTAAAGTTTTATATCGAGGGGGACAACTTTTCATATCAAATTTTGGTTTCTCACCCCTACCCCTTGCGCCCAGGAGCTACCCCCTTAAGAATTTGAATAGGGAAGGGGTATCGACCAATAAATCATTTTAAAGGTCTTTCAAATCCCTATACATAAATGTTTTATTTTTTTAAATCGGTCTGTTTATTTTTGAGATATTTTAGAAAAACCATGCAATATGCTTTTAAAACTTCCCAACTTAAATTTTTCGAAAACTGGAAGAATTTGGAAAAAACGCGGACACACATAAAGTTTTATATCGAGGGGCACATTTTTTGGCGCTACTGCTACTTTAACCTCCTTGAGTTCTGCAACCCTTAACTCAAAAATCCTAAATTGCAAAAGGTATCATGTGGCACATCATTTTAAAGCTCGTTTAATTTGAAATTCAACTGTGTAGTTAGTTTTGTAATTTATCGGTTGGTTCTCAAGAAAAAAAAAACAATATTTATTGTTTGGAAATTGGTTTTTACTAAATCTAAACGAATAGGTATACAAATTTATTTATCAATTACAATTGAAAATAAAAAATAATAATATTTTTAGGTCAAATGTTCAAAATGTCCCCCGTTCTTTTGCAAACAATAATAAAGCCTGGATTCAAATCCCTCCCTCACATTACGGAACATCGCTGGAGTTATTTGACGGCACTCTGTTATAATCCGTTGACGTAGTTCATCCAAAGACGCAGTGGATTTAAGTCAGGTGATCGGGCAGGCCACTCTACAGGACCTCTTCGTCCAATCCAACGTTCAGAATATCGCATATCTAGATGCCGACGAACTGGAGCTGCGTAATGAGGAGGAGCGCCGTCTTGTTGAAAATGTAAGTCCTGTTCAGCAAGCAAGGAATCATCTTCCAAAGTTAGGGTTATCAAAGCATCAATTTCATTTTCCATCATTTTTAGATACATTTCGCTGTTCAAATTACCTTGAATAAACAGAGGTCCAATTAAATGGTCCCCCAAGATTCCTGCCCAAACATTCAACTTCTGTGTTGAGTATGAACTTCCCGGTATAAATGAGGATTTGTATCACTCCAAAACCTGCAGTTATGCCGATGGACCTTGCCATTGAGAGAGAAAGTTGACTCGTCCGAAAAGCAAATGTTGTACAACAAATTTTGATTTTGAATAAGACGGTCACTCATGATTTCGCAAAATTCCTGTCTTTTATCGAAATCGTCTTCATTTAATTCATGTACCAGCCGAATTTTGTAGGGATGAAAC